AGGGGGTTTTATATTTTTATGGTGAATTAAAAATACATATAAATTAAAATTTTGCTGCAAGAAGTATAAATTTTATCGTTTTTAATTATTTTTAATAAAGTAAAAGATATTTTGTTATTTTATTTTTTAACGGTGTTAAAAAATATTAACAGAAAAAATATAAAATCATACAATTTTTTAAAATATATATTTTTTTTTATTTAGGTGGTGTAGGATAGTTTGGTGGTTATTTTATTATATGAATGATGATGTTGATGATGGCGTAGGATGGACCCCACATCACTATTTGCAGATCTAGGGATGGACCCACCTAAGGTGGATCGCACGTAATTCTCCAGCTCTCTCTCTCTCTCTCTCTCTCTCTCTTTCTTTTGTCCTCTAAAAATTAATTAAAATGTTAGTGAGAAACTTCTAGTAACCAACTTCTACCGTTGTCATAACTTTCATACCTACTGAAAAATGTTATTTCTTGTTTATATTTTTTTCTGTCTAAAATTAAATATAATTTTATTATTTTTAAAATAAATTTTTGGATACTAATTTTATTAAAATACTAATATTAAATGCGTTCTCCAAATTTTTTATTGGTCCAAATTTTAAATGTTTTTATTCGTCTTTGTGAGACATTTTAATGAGTAAAAATTTAGGGAAAGAGTTGAGATTTATGGAATGAACACATTCCTTTATGTTATACAAGCAAACTAAGCATTTATAAGTACCAACAAAATAAATTAATCTTTCCACAAACTTTGGGTTTTCCATTTATTTGATTGAATATATATATATGTTACTATTGTAAATTGTAAATAGCTAGAGAATTTTATTTTTTATATGAAATATTATATATACATATTTGTTGTTTCCATTTAAATCATGCCACTTAATCACATACTTCAAAAAAATCAACTACTTATAATACACCATTTGTGATCATGAAATGAACATTCTTTTTTTCCAACGGACTCATTAATGATTTATTATTTTTGTTTATACTCTAAATATGATCAATTAGATGTGTAAATAATTGAATTTGAAAAAAAAAATTAGAGAATGGAGGGTTTCAAAATATAGTTCAAAAATGTTGTAAATGAATAATATGTAATAATTTTTTAATTTTTTAAAAAATAGAAAAATGGGGATTTACGAATTTATAATTATACCTTTGTTTCCTATGATAATTCATAATTGCAAACTATACTCTCTACTTTTTTTTTTTGTCTTAGGAAAATCGTACTGTGGCTGCTAAGGGGTTTCTTTTTGAGTCTAGACAATACAGAGACGTGGGAAACTGTAACATGTTTTTTGTGGTTGAGAAACGAAGTTTGAATGAAGGGACATGACATTGATGTGTTTTTATTACGTTACCGGTAAGTGTATGATTTTTTTATTATAAAAATTTTGATTTTTAATAAAATGTTTTTTTATTAAAAAATCTAACATTTAACTAATAGACAATAATAGCTTTTCAATTTTACATCTCACTTTGTTTAAATCGTACTTAATTAATAAGTAACAGAAACTATTGCAAATGTGAAGCTGAAACGTTGTTGGAAAAAAAAAAGAAAAAACTTAACCTATAAAGTTAAAAGCTTTGCAATTTTTTTACTATATCAAAATGGTTACGTTGGGTGTGTTTAATTCATATTTAATAGTTATTCTTTTATATATTAGTGTTAGTAGTGATAGATTTAAAATTTTATATAAAAAGTGATTGATGAGTAATTATATAAGATCATAAATTTATATTTTTTAAAATTTATACATATAATAATAAGAATAATAAAAATTATAAAATGAATTGTAAATTATAATATGTCTATCACTAATTTAAGTATATCAACTGTCACGGTCCACATCAATATTAACTTATAAAATATTATTCATTTTGGCGTGTTAGTGTCACAGTTTTATTTTATATAAGTTGAAGGTGATATGAACTTATAAATGTTTATTATCAAGTATATAATTGATGTGAGATTCATAACTCCCATTTAAGTGCTTATTTTTTATGTGAGATTTATGTTTCACCGTTGGAACCATGTATTCTCTTTAAGATGAGATTCAAGACTCCCCATTTGGACTGTAACTTCTTTCCCATTTCAATAAAAATTCATTGTCTTTAGTAACTCTTTGCTAGTATCCTAGAGTTCACTCTAATATTAACTATCATAATTCACATCAATATAACTTGCAAGATATTGTTAGTTTTGGCTTGCTAATCTCGCGATTTTGTTGCATAAAATGTGATTTTGTTTAATCAAAGGGCGCCTTACAAGATAAAGGTAAATAAGAACTCGTTGTCATAAAATGAGATATTGTTTTCGTGACAAAAAGTATTTTTGATGAAGTAAATAGATAGTGTAATTAAGATCTTTCTTATTGTGAATAAGAAAATGACATAATATTTTTAAATTTTAAGTTTAAATTAAAAGTTAATAAATCAATAATTTGAATATACTATTATGAATATACTTTGTAAAATATTAATATTTTATTCTTAAAATATGTTCTAATTTATCAAATATATATATTTGATAAGTTAACTATTAACATTTTAAATTAAATGACAAATTTTTGAGTGGAAAATGAATTTGGTATTTAAACAAAGATTATTTACATGAGCAAGAAAAAAGTTTTGAGGAAAAATATGTGCTATGATTTGAGTTCCCTAAAAAAAAATTTGAAAATGTAAGACTTATTATGGTTTTCTTTGAAATTAAAGGAAAAGATATTCAAATTATACTTTTTAAATAAAAAGATCATACACTCATCAAGAAGTTAAATGTTTAAATATTATAAAATTTATTACATTATATATGTTGTATGAAAATAATTGAAAGAAGAGAGAATATAGGTAGAGTTTATCCTAAATTATTTAAACAAAAACAACCTTTTTTTTTTTGCTACTTAATATCAAACAAATAAGTAGACCTTACCTTATATTACCTAAATGGGAGTTTGAAGTTTTGATCAATGTCAAACCAACCTCCCCCAAATTTTGGTAAATTGGACAAAAAGATGCCAGCCACTTATTAAAACCTCCAAAAAAAAAAGTGGGAAATTACGAATTTTTAAAACTAAACACAAAAAAAAAGAGAAAAATCAAAGCTTCAAAAATGGCAGCAAAGGCAAATTTATAAAAGAATAAAAAAAAAGAAAATAGAAAATAATAGGGGGGCTGCAAAAACAAGCGAAGAAGAGCACCACTGGATCCGTCCCCTTCCCCTCCAAATTCGGTGGGCCCCACGCAACGGACTTCAAAGTCCTAGATTTAAATTTAGTTAATTTGACAGAAAAGCAACTTCCAAAAAGAAAATAAAAAAATAAAACAAAAAAAAAAAGGACAAATACTGGGAAGAAGAGACAGAGAAAAAAAGGCAGTGAAGTCCCGTGAATGACTCATCAAAGGGAACCTGACCTGTTTTGCCTCCGTTCTACACGCGCCTGTCTTTATCCTTTATTTAATTAATTAAATATTAAATAATAAAAAAAGGTAAAATCAAGATTTGCCCCATGTTGGCGACCATTATATATACCCATTCCGTTTCCCTTTCCCCCTCACCCAACGCTCCGCATTTTCTCTCTCTACACTCTCGCGTTCTCACTCTCTCTAGAACACGCCCGCCCCCGCCTTGAGTTTCTCTTCATTTTCTTTCTCTTTCTTATTCTTTTTCTCGCCAGCCAAACGCATTCTCTCACACACCCTTTTGACCCCTTATTAAATCCTCCCCTTCCCTCACTTGTGTTTTCTACTTATTTAACGACGACTTACTGCATTGAACACTTTTAAGGTTGTTTTCTTTGTAATTTTCGAGACTGAAGACGTTTTCCAATGGCAATGGAGGATAACAAAGCCAACAAGAAGAGAACCCGGGAAGAGTCTGAGGGTAATGAGTCGGAGGCTAACTCCGTCTCCAATTTAAAACTCGCTCGAGTCTACTCGGCAGACACGGGCTTCGACTCGCCCGAGTCTACTATCGTGGAACCCGACCCGGATGACGGGAATGTTCAGTCGCCGGAGGTGAAGCGTATCCAGGAGGATTTGTTGAACATACTCGACGATTCCGACCCGGTCATTGGACCCGACCCAGCGATTCAGGGACTCGACTCGGTCATCAAAAGCTTCGAAGAAGAAATCTTAGTTCCGACTCAGGCACCGGCACCGGCGGTGACGTCGGATTCCGGTGAGTCAAGGCCTGTGCTAGGGTTTCTTTTAGAGGCATCGGATGATGAACTGGGTTTGCCTCCTAGTTTTTCGTCTGTTGAGGAGGAGCAGAAATTTGGCACCGTTGCTTTGGAAGAAGGTGTAGATTCAGGAGCCGTCGGAATTGGGGAGATGATGGGGTACGAGTTTCCGATTCCGAGTTTCGAACCTTACGAGTTCGGAATCGGCGGCGACTCCGACACCAACAACAATAATTATAGTAACAGCGCTGATTTTGTAGCGTTAGGCGGTTTGTTTGAACCGGCAACGGATATTTCGGAGCTGACATGGCGGCCTGAATCGCTTTCCGCATTGTAATTATATATATAAAAAAAAGAACACAAGCAAATCGAAAAGTGTTGGTGCCGTTTCGAAATGTTGACAAGGACACATCCGTTTTAAAAAAAAAATTATTTAGGCTTGTAAATTTATTAAAATGATAAAGTAAAGAAAGAAGAACAATAGTTAGATTTGAAAATGTGAATGGCAGGTAGCAGCTGTTTATGTTTATATATATATATATTAATTGACCTATTCTTAATTAGTTTAAATTAAGTACTAAATATATAGAAAGTTAAAATGAAAATGAAATGGATTGGATTGGATTTTGTGATCAATTACTTCCTGTTATACAGATTTGATTTTATTAATCATTAAAATTATTATATAATGTTTAGATTTTATTTATTAAATTAAATAGAGTAAAACATTAATAAATATAATTAATCGTCCGTTACTCTATTTTATTTAAATCTAGTTTTATTAATGATAAATTTTAAATTTTTATCATCAATTTTTTTTAATTAGAGAAAATCGGGAAGATTTTATTTTAATTTGAATCAGATTGATTCCTTGAAATAAATATAAAATAAAAATACGAACGCAATAACCTGTCGATGAAGCTTTTAAATTGATGTTAATTTCATCAGATCCAATTTTTATTAAAAATAATAAACATTTATTCAATTTAAATTTAAATTTAAAATATATTTGTATTAATTAATTGATATTAAAAATATATTAAATAAATGATTGGACCGGTCCAGGTTGAGAAGAGCCCATGGATTAAAATTTGAAGAGTACAAAATATTAAAAACAATAATAAAACACAAATCATAAAATCTTATCCTGCTCGCTACTCTCCTCCACTCAAATGGCGCTAACCATGACCATCAGCCATGGTAGCGGTACTAGTGGCGGTAATGGGGTCCGAATCATCTGCGACAACCCCACCAAACAATCCTACACTCGCCTCCCTCCTCGACGACGCGTCCTCTTCCCCACCTCCCCCAGAATTCTCCACTTAACGACCTTCGCAGCCAAAAAGTTCTCCCCCCGAACCGGACGCTTCGACAGCAAGAACCGGAGAAGCGCTCTCACGACGAAAGAACAAGATGAGGAACAAGAGCAGCAACGAAAGACGGCTGAGATTGAAGAACAGAAAGTTGTTGTTGGGGTTGGGTTTGATAACGTTGGTGGGAGTTCTTCCGAGGTTTCGGCTGATGGGAAACCGTTTCCGGAACTTCCTGGTCTTCAGCCTGATTTGTGGGAAGGTCCTCAGTGGGATGTTCTTGGTTTCCTTGCTCAGTATTTGTGGGCTGTTGGCATTGTTTTCGCGGTATCTCTCAGTGCTCTTTATCACTGCCTTTTTAGCCTTTTGTTTTTGTTGTGATAATGCCTGAAATGATCGATATTTGAATTCACATAAGCATATGAAGGGTTAGAATTCGTTGGTTTTAATAAGAGTAATGAAATTTTTGCTTCAATATGAAGATGGCATGATACTGGTAATGGAAAAATGACACTCAAGTGGTTAGAACTTTACTTTGAGTTTGGAGAGTTTAGGTTCAAAATTCAATTCTTGAAGAGTTTATGAGGTGACAGATGTGGTGAAGAAAAAAAAAAATCCTGCTTGTGGACAGTGTTTTCTTTTCATAATCATCCGGAGTAGCTATTACCATGGCAGGGGTTGGGGATAGCTATTCCTCTTGGTGAGGAATAAGGCGACAATGCCATTCTGTGGAATGCTGTAGTCATTGTATCCAACAAAACATGCTGAAATTAAGTGCTTGATACAATTGAGATCTAATATGCAGTCTTAATGAGCACAAATTGCTGAAGGTTGAAAGTTGTATGACAACTTTGTAACGTTACATTTTAGCTTTCTCTTTGTCGTAACACGTCTAATTGGATAAGGCGCTGTTTCATGATCAATGTAGACAGTGTGTAGATTCTTTTCTGGATTACTTGAAGGATGGTTTGAGAAGTTAGGTGGATCTAAGTATCTTGCTCATCACTAGTTGCAGAATAAATTATGTGTTTTTCTTTGAAGACAATTGGTTGAGAAAGGTCTCTTTCATATGGTTGGAAAAACATGGAAGCGTTAATGTCTAGAGAATTAGGTGGAGAAAACTTCTGTTTAAAGTTTTACTAGTTATCTATTTCAGAAGCCCTTTTGAAAAATTAGTGGGAGAATTTATTGAGCCCAACGAAATCTATTTCCATGCTTGTTAGATTGTGATTGCTGAAAAAGCCTTCATATTGTTTGATGAATGGCAGAGTGAAGAATCCTACTTTTCATAATGATGCTGGAAAATTCTAACCTGTTGGTACATCTGAAATATTTTGCTGGTTTTCTGCTTTTTATACAAATTTGCTTTCAAAAGGCACTATCTTGATGATTCTTCAATCTGATTACTTGCATTCTATTTTATCAGTTAATTGCATGTGGGATTGCTGTGGCAACTTACAATGAAGGGGCAACAGATTTTAAGGAGACTCCTGCATACAAAGAGTCTATCCAATCTCAAGAGCTTTTAGAAGAACCTGACTCTAATTCAGATGTATTCGAATCGAACCCTACTGAAGTTGCACCTAGTTTGGAGTAGCTGCTGTAAAATGAACCTAAAAGGTCTTTATATCTGGATTGATAAACAAATCACTTGAAGTCAAGCTTTTTCCTTGATTTGTATGGTAATGTATGTAATTTACCTTTGCAAATATTGTATCTTAATGATTTTGAGATAATGTTACAAATTATTTGATAGTTGGCATACATTAAAGGCACAGTTGACACGTCCATCAATTGTAGTCTTTTACTTGAAATAGTTCTTCTTAGCAAGGTCTTAAGATTTCAGTTTCGGAGTGACATTTCTTTTTAAGGGTAATGCACTTGCTTGGGGGCATGGTAAACCCTTTTATGAACATGAAGGGTTTCAAATCAATTTCAAAGTAAAGGTTTAGCAGATTAAGGATTTGTGGGAAAAATTAAAACAAGTAATATTTGTTTGTGTAAGATAGATTTGTTTTTGATGTTCCAATTGTGCTGGTTAGTACCCTTCTTTGAGATAACATACATTCAACTGCCCCCCCTTCCTGTCTCTTCCCCTGTTCTCCCCTGCTTCTCCCTATAGCTCTTCTAATTATTGTAGAAAATTTTCAGAATCATCTATAATTTTCATTATATAAGAATTTTACTGGGTAACATCTGTTTTAAAAAACGGATTAAGGATTCTGCTGCAGTGTGGTATAGAAAAACAAAGAGTCAAGGAGGGATTTGCTGTTGGAAAATTATGATAGTGTAGATTTTTGGGTGCACATTCTCCTTTTAATTACAGATACTGCTTTCTTTTCATTTTTGTTTCTGCCCAATGAAGTACCATGTTGAAGCTGAGTAGGGTATGGCAGTGAGTGCAGCCATGAATTGATTTTTGGAAGATCATGATTTATGTATTTAAGATTAAGCCACTTAATTTGACAATGCTTCTGGTGTACTTGGATCAAACAGCCATAAACTATTATATAAGAAGCTACTGCATATCATTCCAAAACAGATAAATTGCTGTTCCAATACATTCTACATTGATATATAGGTATTAACTATCGAAACACAATGAATAATAGGTAAATCTAAATAACAATATTACTGATCCTAAATGTCTCAAACTGGTCTCCATCATCAGATAACGTAAACAAACAAAACACCAAACCCATAAGCACCTAATAAATCAAACTGAGTGCCAGTTTTGAAAGCAGAATTGCAGCAAAAGTCACCATTGTTGAGAGACCTTTTGACTTCAGTCTTCCAGCATTGCTCCGGCTGAACCCTAGTCCCATGATGCTTGGTCTTGGTGCCACTGGAACAGTTGGGTGCGCCATGGGGGAAGCTGGAGAAAACAGAGCAAATTTAATCAATTTCGGGTCTTGGAGGTAGCAAAAGAAAGGGCATATATAATAAAAAAAGGCATGAATGGGTCATAAGATAATGCGAAAAATTGTTTGATTACCAGCGACAGAAGAGTTGTGCTTTGCCCCTAGAGAAACCTCAGAACCAGGAGGAGAAGGCACCCCTTAAAGAAAAGAATGCAATATTATCAATTAATCAAATATTTATAAGACCAACATGAATGGAAGGTGGTTGATTGAGAATATCTGAATGGTACCTGAGCAAGTAGAGGCGTTAACTTGGAGCTTGCAAATAACAGGTAACTGCAAAGCACGTGTCCTGTTAATAGGAAAATCACTCAATGTGGTATTATCGAGCAAGAGGCAAAGACAGCCTGGTTGCAGGGTGTAGAGCTGATTGAGGTTGTCACAGCACGCCTGCGCCGGCACCTGTGCTGTGCCCTGCACAAAAGGTGCACATGGCATCAGTGCCACCAGGCGTGGGCTGCAGTCAGCAATGGTTGGACCTTGGGTGATGGGGTCCTGAGAAAGGGCAGTGGGAAGAGTGGCAACGAAGAGCAGGAGCATAACAATGGATGTGAAGGGAATGTGAGAAAGAGAGAGCGAAGCTGCCATGGTGTAAGTTTCTTGGTGCAGAAACTGGGGTTCACTAGGTAACCATTTAAGATGGGAATGCATGGATTGAGTGTGAGTTTTTGCATGCATGGTGTGTGTTACTTATTCCAACATGCAAATTTTGTTCTCTCCCTGTGGGACATAACTGTACTTCCCAGCTCAAAATATATGACACTTCTTTTTGGAAATTCAATTTATATATATATATATATATATTTGGTCTATAAATAATAGCACCATTGGAAACTTTTTGATGAATTCATGTCTGAAGCATCATAATTTTTTTAATTAAACTATAAAATTTTTTACTTGGAGTCTCAATCAATTTAGGACATGTAATTAGAAGGAAAAAATAAACCGACTTTATTTTATTTAACACAGAAGCTGGGAATTTTACACTGCAATGAGCAGCTCGCCTAATCCTAATAACACATGGAAAAGGAATACTCCAAACCCCAAATTGAATCCAGCAAGCATTCACCTTCAATCCCTTCAACTATATATACCACTCTTGCCATTGCTTCCCCCACTTTTGATCTTCATAATCTCGACGATCATATTACATTAATATTTGGAAGCTTTTCCTTGTGATCTCCTATTCGTCCATTGTTTCTCCTGTCAATGGAGCCGTCTGATCTTGAAGCTATTGCAGCAGCCATGAGGCTTGATCATTCTTTCCAACATACCTATCGCTGTTCTTCATCGAGGGTTGAGTTTGGTAACAGAATACTGATGCCGCTTTCTGCTTTCGACTCTCTTGTTGATAGAGGTGTGGAGTCTCCATGGCTTTTCGAGCTGTGCAATCCTGTAACAGGCAAAACTTCTCATTGTGGAGTTCTTGAGTTTACTTCCTATGAGGGTTTCGTGTTGTTACCGAGGCAGATGATGGAGTCCATGGAGCTAGAGGAAGGAGAGCTTGTAACACTAACGAGCGCTTCTCTTGACAAAGGAATCTTCTTGAAGCTTCAACCACATACCAAGAATTTCATGGGACTCTCTAACCATAGGGCGGTGTTGGAAATAGCTTTCAGAGATTTTTGTTGCTTGACTACCGGAGATACCATCATGATCATGTATAACAACATCAAGTTTTTAATCGATGTTATTGAAGCAAAGCCCTCTTGGGCCGTCAATATCATTGACACAGATTGTGAAGTTGAGTTTGCTCTCCCATTGGATTCTGAACCACCCCAAGAAGAAGAGAAAAAGCCCAAAGAACTTCAAAAACAAAAGCAGCCAATGGAGGAAGTAACAGTCAAGTTCAAAGCGTTCAACGGCATAGCAAGGCGCCTTGATGGAGAATCTGTGACAGAACAGGTTGCAGTTGGTGATAATGACGACGATGATTCGATGGTGAATGTTGAAAGAAAGCCATGCGGATCAAAGAAAGTTGTGCTTGGTTCCAATGTTATTCAATCTCAAGAAGGCTCAACCGGTGAACCATCGAGAAAGGGTAGGCAAGAGGAAACCAATATGAAGAAAGAAGAGGAAAAGTTCCAGCCATTCACCGGAAGAAGTTATATGTTGACTTAGGATAACAGTTTCCGAATTTGAACCTTTACTTTAGTTTATTTTTTCTGATACAATTCTAGCTTTAGCCTAGCTTTGTTTGTTTTTTTACCTTTGACCAATTCATATGTGCAAACATTTATGATGGGCACTGAATTTTCCTGTCACCCACTTTTAAAAGTTAAAAAAAAAAAAGAACAAAAAGGGAATGAAAAGCAGAAAAAAAGGGCAGGGAATTGTTTGACTGCTGTCAATTTTTGTCTTCTGATTAAGATGATATTTATATAAAATTTTAAAATTACTACATGGTCTCTTTTTCATTCTGATGTGAGTAATATATATTAAATAAAAAATATTTTAACAAATTAATACCTGTTAATCTGATAAAAAAATTAATTTTAAATAAAAATTATACATTAATTATTGAACTAAATATTCCAAAGATACTGATGTCATATTTAATAAGAAGTAAAAGATGTATGGCAAAAATAGAGATTGCTTCCAAAGCAAGAAATCTCTGACGAGTGAAGTCTGATATGAATGATGCAAAGGTGGATATACCATTCATAGAATTTAATCACAACTAACAGAATAAGGATGACTGATACCTAAATATATTCCCACACCATAATTAATATATAAAAAGTTTTGAGAGATTCATTGGAAAAATGTTAATGAAGATAATTGAGGGCTTTGCTATCAGTGTCAAGGTTAGCTATACAAACTCTTATCCAAATTTATGATGCTGTCACATGCTTCATCTCCCATCATTCTGCTGTTAGCCACAACTTTCGAAAAGATGGGATTTCTCAATCGAAATGGTCCAACAATTGGCATAAAAGCTGGGCAGCTTCATGTCTATTCGTATAGGCCATGAACCCAACAGACACTGGCATCTGCAGCTTTGCATAGAATTGTTCTATAAATACAAAATAACTACTAGAAAGTAAGAAGAATGGCAATGGCTTCTTGGGCTAAAAAACTCACCAAGTGCCAGTTCAGGCTCCGATTTTCTTCTCCAGCTTCTCTCAGCTGCCCTCCAGAGCCACTAGTAATTGCTTCTCTCTCCCAATCTCTATAACATTTTTTTACAGATACTAAAAGTATGTTCTTGTCTATATATATTCATGCAGGAAGTGGTTTTGGCTGCAAATTTAGGATGTACCAACTGCCAGAAAAGAGTAGCTGATGTAATCTCAAGAATCCATGGTAAGCTTTCTTCAAGGCTTAATTTCTTGGGAGTACATGCATATTCGAAGTGATCAAAACAAAATGGAATAAAAAAGGGTTTTAAGCCCTTTTCTCCTGTTTGGTTCATGGAAAAATTTCAAAAAAAAAAAAAAAGAATCCAAAAACGAAAAACATGAACAATATGTATTAATTATTATCATCTCTGAATGTTTTGATGCTGCTTGATACTACATAATTAATATGCAGATGTGGAATCCGTCGTGGTGCATGTATTGCAGAGAAATGTGACTGTCACACGTCAGCCTTTCCGCCATGGATCTTCTGGAAAAAAAACTTAGATCATTGCTGCCAAACTATACATATAATTTCTTAGTCGTGTAAGTCAAAATTGGAGGAATTGAATCCAGCCCTTTTTCCATTTTTCTTATGTACATTTATGCTAACATCTTATTGTTCTTTTTATAATTAATATTATTAATATGTGACCAGAACGTCTATAAGATTAAAACTGATGAATTTGTTAGAAGAAGAATTCCTATCCAAATTTTGATATATAATATAATTAAATTACGAGTACCCTTTTATTTAAGGTTAAATGTATATATTTTGTATTAAAAAAATTAAATTTCGAATTTATTTTCAAGTTCCTCATCTTGGGAATTGCTAGACCAATACAAGTCTTGTATATACTTGAGATACGAGTAAAATTGCTTTTGATCGGCTTAGTGTAGAAAAAAGATTTAGATTTGTATCAATTTTTCAATATATAATTAAATAAATTTATTTGATTAAGTGAAAAAAAAAAGATATAAGTCTAATTATTATTAAAAGAAAAATGGTAAGCAATATAGAAGTGAAAGGGTAGGAAACATGTCATAATAAAATATACTTTAAATTAAAGCTACAAATGCCACCAACATTCCTTCAGGATTAGCAAAAGTAATTAAAAATTAACAAGGGGAATATAATTGCATGGGCAGAGTCGATGTCAAATCGTCAAGGTCAGCCATTAAATGTAGAATATGATTTGCAGCTAACCAAATGGAATGAACCACATTTTTGATTTGTTATTTTCTGTTAACATAAAAGAAAATCATTGATCGTTCATCATATAATCTTTAGGTGGGTCCTTAAGAAAACAAGACCATACACAAGAATTTTTAAATACCCTATTTCATTACTAATTATTAATTTATTAGCTTCAAAAATTGTTTTTTAGTTTCTTCTTCACACATGATTATTTTAAGTTTTTTATTTTGATTTAATTATTTTTACTAGAAAAAGTTCATGACATTTGCAAATGTCAAATGTATGGTAATATGGGGAGAAAATAAGCCCTTTGACCTGATGGAACAAAAAAAGAAAAAAGCAAAGGAAATTAAAAGGCAGGTAGGTTGGTGAGAGAGTGAGTAAGCAAAATCCCTAACATCTCATGACTCATTAAAACTATTGTAGTAATTTTAGGATTACAACTCATTGAATTGAGATTAATATAATTTAAAAAATGGGTTTTTAATTAAGTTTTTGTATTTTTATCACATAAACTAAAGTTTTTTTTTATTTTTCTCAATTGAGTATTTCATCTCATAATGAAAATGTATCAGATATTATTTTTCATGATAATTGCCATTTACTATATACATGAAATTTAACTAAGTAAGATAAAAGTTAATAATATGAAAATATTTTTATGATGTGACATGTCACATTACGTCAAATTCTACATATACAAAAATGACAATTATTATTAAAAATAACATATGTTACATTTTTGTTATGAAATACGAGTTCAATTGGATAAACAAAATAACATGAGCTCAATTAGATACAAATAAAAAAAACTTAATTAGGTATAATAAAAATATAAGAATTCAACTGTAAAAGCAAACATAATTCAATAATTTTTTTATTATTTAAGTCTTACATTGATTATTGTGGTTTATATGAAAAGCAGCAGTTAAATGACAACAATTATAAATAGAATAAGCATCTCATACCGCGTTGACAAAGGATATTTATAAAGATTTATTCTTAAATTTTTTTTTCTTTAATTGGATTTGGAACATACATGTAAAGTTATGCCTTCCTGTTTGAAAGAATAAGCCTATAGAAGGAAGAAATGGATGCTTTTCTCCCCGCAACACACATGAAACTTATAAAAACAGCACCAAGAGGTCAAGAATAATGGGCAACAAGCTACACCTACACCACCCCCCATGGCAGAATCAGATTCCAAAATTAACATAGAACAATTCCAATAAACCAGCTCAGTCATGATTCCTTTTCATTCTCAAAAAATTCCCATCATTTGTCTTTTAACATCATCTTTTCTGCATTGTTCAAACACCCATTGTTGGATTCCTTGCAGGCTTCATGACAGAAAGGGCAAGCTCCATTTCCACCAAATAACACCTTTCATTGATGATAAGCTTTTTTGCTGTTTCATTTTTTGTTTTTACCTGTAATTAATTTCTCTGCAAATTTACATGCATGGCAGTTTTGCTGCATGGTAATGAAGATCAACATTGACTGCAACGGGTGTTACAGAAAAGTAAGAAGAGCCCTTCTTGATATCCAAGGTGAGATCAAATCTTCATAATCAGACTTGCTTTTCAAACCCTTTTTTCCCCCATTATCTTTTGATTTGATTCCTGCTATAACTCTGATGAATGTAGAGTTGGATACGCATTTGATAGAGAAGAAGCAGTGCAGGGTAAGCGTTTGTGGCAGGTTTATCCCTCAAGACATCGCCATCAAAATAAGGAAGAAGACCAACCGCAGGGTGGAGATACTGGAAATACAGGAATTCAACATCGACAATGAACAGATCAGTCATGAAGAGAAGGCATTGATCAGTTCCTGGAATCTCGAATCCAACCAAACCCATGTCGCAACCTGTGTAACATGTACATGAATTTCTACACATATATATAGAAATTAAGATGATATGCTAGCTGCATCAAGTGAATATATGTAAAACCCTTATTTGTCAACTGTATAGAGCTGTAACTATACCTGGTTATCATCATCATCTTTTTTTTTTCTTGGGTGGGGGAAGGGGAAAGGGAAAGCGGGGTTGATGGTATAAGAAGGAGCTGATCAATTTCAACTTGATTAAGGCCTAAGAAGGAAAAAGAAGTACCAAATTTGATCGGGAGAGGTCAGCTCTGTCATTGTTCTTCAGGTTTTCTAGATTGGAAAGGAAGACCCTTCAAATACGTTAATACATGTGCTTGATTAATATGACATTTTGTTCTGCACTTACATACGAGGAAGTCTTAGAGAGTGTTCTATTAAGCATTTACATTTTATTAATAATTCTAATAATAATAATAACTTTTCAATATATTTATATAGCAGTTTATATAAGTGTGTAATTATTTGTAAGAAGGAAGAGAAAGAATAAAGAAAATGCAAAAATATTTGAATTTTGTCTCTTAGAGTAAATTAGTTGATTAGTTAGTCGATTAAGCGAGCAATTAATTGTTGAGAAATACAAATTAGTTGATTATTATGAATGTTTAATCAAACTAAACAAGAATAGATATAAAAAAAGAAAAATCAAACAGCTAAAGTTATTTTTGATTCTTAAAAGTCATAATCTTTGAAAATTCAACATACTTATTCGATGAATGAATGCTTAGAATTTTGTTCGAAGTCTATAAATATTTTATAAAATCATTAACAACATCTAATAATTAAACTCTTTTTAAAATGAATAACAATCGTCAAATGTAATTAATTGCAAATAGACACAGATATACAATAGATTAACTTAATTTTGGAAATTAGTTTACAGAAAGGAAATTAAGATTTAGAAACATGATCTAATAATTTTCTTAAAAGAACATGAAATGTAAATTATATCATAAAGTGGTTACTTTAATCATGATTAATTGATAATCAAAAGTATATATGGCATGATAAACTTGTTCAATTAGACAAGACTAATCAATTATATACTATATATATCAATTAAATGGTAATGGTTTAATAAATTTATTTAAATGGATTATATCTATATATGGAAATTTATGTGGGTTACAGGTTCCGATATGTTCTAAGGCATAAGTTCTCTTATTGGCTATCATGTTGGACGGTTTGAATGGTTCGGTCTGCGCTGCTGTGGGTCCCGCTATTTCGTACTTTGTGATTAATACCGTACGTCCCTAGCCACCGCGCCTCGTCGTACTTCGCCACTTCAATCCTCAATCGTCATCATTCATCTCTCACCTAATCTTTCTTTACGTACCTGATTTCCACGCATTCTGCACCAGTTTTAAATGGAAAAGGATTAGAAGTCTCCGGATTCCTGGTTCTCTCTTGTCAATGGCTGCCAAGTTGGGTTCGTTTAGGTACTCTCTGCTAGAGAAAAGGGAGAGAACAAAGGGGTATTCAGTGTTGGGATTCTCCTACGAAGAAGGAGAAGAAGAGCAAGGGCAAGGATGGAGATGCTTTTCTTACCGATTTATAAGCGACAAAATAACTGGGTTCTGGAAAGATGTTCAAGATGTTGCAGGCAAGGCATGGCAGATGGGGAAATCGGACCCCAGAAAGATTATTTTCTCAGCCAAGATGGGTCTTGCCTTAATGCTTATTTCGTTGCTTATTTTCTTAAAAGAACCCTTCAAGGAGCTTAGCCAGTACTCTGTTTGGGCTATTCTCACTGTTGTCGTCGTCTTTGAATTCAGTATAGGTAATTTGGTTGGTTTTATTTTTGGGTTTTTTTTAGTAGTAGTTTCCTTATGTGGGTCATCAATCATATAACTCATAATTGTAAATTCCTGTCATCCTACTATTTATTTATGGAATTTCTGTTCAATATGTTTGACTGCAGTTTTTTCTTCAAGAATTTTCTTTTGTTTTTGGGTTTGTTTAGAGGTTTTGATTCGGATTGTTGCTTTTATTACTTCTTTTTGCTTCTTAAAAAGGGAGACACAATCATAATTGATAAATAATAAACAAAGAGTAGTAATTATATGTAACATCGATTCTGATATGAATTTTTTTTATATTCTGTTCTAAGAAATTTTTAATTACATTTTTTTAATTCTTCAAAAATATTACTCCTATGAGCTTTTGCATCCGAAAGAAAGAATCAACAAACAAAAAGAGACTTAATTTTATCTTGAGGTAGTCTTTGTTATACTATTGTATTAACATGTTAGTACCTCTCAGAAGAAATTTGGTACTTGTGAGAATTCATCTTGTATTGGTTTTGTTTTGTTCTTTCTTTTCTGGCTGAGCTCGTCTTCATTTGTATGTTCACGTGTGTATTTATATATGTGTTCTGTAATGTATGTAGTAATTACTGTGTCTAAGTAAATAAAACCTATTCATTGTTTGGTTGCGTTCTAATAAATTCAAGCATAATTTCTTTTTCTGAAGGCCTGAACTGATTAGATGGTGTTATTCTATCAAACCGGTAATCACGAAATACTGTTTGAGCTGTCAAGCTTCATTTGATTTGGCCTGCAGATTTTTAGTTAATTTTTTTGTTTGTTCATTGTTTCTTTTCCTGTTTACATTTACTCTCATTTGCATAAAGGAATACGTGTTTTGTTTTCTTTACAACTTTTGTGGTCACCTTATTTCTGCAGGAGCAACTCTTAGCAAAGGATTTAACCGTGGGCTGGGGACATTATGGGCAGGAGGGCTCGCTCTGGGTATGGCAGAATTGTCAGAGTTGGCTGGAAAATGGGAAGAAGTTGTTATAGTTATTAGCATCTTTATCATAGGTCTGGTTTTCAGGTCAACATTGTTATTGCATATATTTATGCTATTAATTGTAAGAGTTGTTACCTGGGTTCTCTGACATGCTGTCCCTTGCCAGGATTCTTTGCAACTTATGCAAAACTATACCCAACCATGAAGCCTTACGAGTATGGATTTCGAGTGTTCTTGTTGACATATTGTTTCATAACAGTTTCTGGGTATAGGACAGGGGATTTCTTGCATACAGCTGTGACGCGATTTTTGCTAATAGCACTTGGTGCCAGTGTTTGCTTGGTTGTTAATATATGCATTTACCCCATCTGGGCTGGTGAGGATCTACACAATGTGGTGGCAAAAAACTTTATGAGTGTGGCAACTTCTTTAGAAGGTTAATATGCACAAAATGTTTACTAATTACTCATCAAATTTTGTAAGTACTGGCTCATTTCTTATGCTTGTTTTCTTCCACTTTTGATCAGGATGTGTTAGAGGATACCTTAACTGTGTTGAATATGAAAGAGTCCCTTCCAAAATTCTAACTTATCAAGCATCAGATGACCCCGTTTACAATGGCTACAGATCAGCTGTAGAATCTTCCAGTCAGGAGGAAGCTCTGGTATTATTGCACTTATGTTACGTTTTTCCACCTGTTACCTGAAACGATATTATTCTCATCTTTATTCCCTTTTTTCTTTTGCAATGCCAAGATGGGGTTTGCCATCTGGGAGCCACCTCATGGTCGTTATAGGTCACTTGGTTATCCATGGAAGAATTATGCCAAAGTAAGTGGAGCACTGAGGCATTGTGCATTCATGGTCATGGCATTGCATGGCTGTATACTTTCAGAAATACAGGTAGTTATTCTTCCCTATCTCTAAGTTATGCAATTGGTTGCCCAATATGATTATAAGTGCCTTCCATTCTCAGGGTTTATTTGTTCCACAGCAGTGTGATGCTAGGATCCTCAAGTTGTTGGTTTTCCCTCTTCAGTTGGCAGTGGTTCCTTGTGAATTTTTATTTGTGCTTAGCACTAGAAAAAAATTACTATTTATTATCATCCAAAATTTCATTTTTAGCTGTTCTTTTGGAACAACAGGTTTTTTTTTTTTGAAAAGCAGAACAACTGGTTTATTTTTCCAATAACAATATTCTACTGGGTTCTTGTGGTGCTTTTGTTTGTTTTGACACTGAGAACAATACTCCTCTGTGGCCTTAGTAAAGCATGCTTGTGATGCAACTTGATTAGTAGCTTTCATCTGATCTAAATCTCTTTTTGGCCATCATGCACAATTTTGCTAAATGCTTCTGCTCTGTTCATAATTGTACCATAGATTTGGTTTAAACCATGCCTAAATACCCCCTTATCAAACTTTTTAGAAAATATTTTTGATAAAAGGATTCTGTGAATTCAAATAATGAATTGTAGAAATAACCTTCTTGGAAGTGACAACATGCCACATTGAAATTGTTCTGCTAGGAATCATGATTGGCAATTAGAATTTTCTGATTGATAATTATCCATTCAAATGCTACCTGATTGAAATGTGCTTATCATTGTGTGTCACCTTTTTTTTTTTTTAAGAGATGGGCTTGCAATTGTCCTTAAACTTCGTGTATTTTAAATTATAACATTTGTATTTGTAGGCTCCACCTGAACGGAGACAAGTCTTTCGTCTTGAACTTCGGAGGGTAGGTGCTGAAGGTGCTAGAGTGTTGCGTGAGCTAGGGAACAAAGTTAAAATGATGGAGAAATTAGGTCCTATTGACATACTATATGAAGTACATGACGCTGCAGAAGAGTTGCAAAACAAAGTTGACCGAAAATCATACCTTTTTGTCAATGCTGAGAGTTGGGAAATTGGAAATCGACCACAAAGTCCCTCAGAGCCTCAAGATTTACTGAACTTGGATAGTGAAGAACACAAAGTCCTGGGTTGTAAGTCCCTCAGTGATGCAGTACTTGATCTCAGATCAGTCACTATACCAAATAGTTGGGATGGCCAGAAGACCCATGTGGGTGCCAACCCCACTGTGCCTCCTGGTGCATCATCTGAAGACTTATTTAAGAAACAGATATCAATGCCTGCACGCACTTCATTCATTGCTGATACAGTGCCATTGGAAGAGTCAAAAACATATGAGAATGCAAGTGCATTATCATTGGCAACATTTACCTCACTTTTGATTGAATTTGTTGCAAGGCTGCAAAATGTCGTTGACGCATTTGAAGAGTTGAGTGAGAAAGCAAACTTTAAGGACCCTGATGAGCTACCAGCAGCTGCAAGAGAGCCCATTGGCCTTTGTTCCAGATTGTTTAGATGTCTGAAGTTTTAGAATTGGCATATAACACCTTAGTTAAAGATTAGAAAAGATAGATTCGGAATTCCTCAGTGCCTAAATCAGGGATTACAACTTAACATGTGGGCCTCAACAGTTCAGGATTTTATTAGTCTAAGTTCTGAAAGTTGTGGACAATGATTTCTGGTACCAGGTCATGCTGAAGAAGTGTCTCCTTCAGATGATGTTTTATAGGTCGATGACAATGGATCTGACGGAAGGGGAAGGCAAAATTGCTGTCATAGCAGAACTGAAACCAAACCAACAACATACTTGGCTGTTGGGTAAATATTTGACCTCTAGTGTATATATATATGTTAACTGCTTTAGTCTCAACTTAATTCCCCTATTAAATCATGGGAGATGGTTTTTGTTTTACTATTTGAATAACTCAAACATGAAACTGCCATCCTTTCCAGGTCATGGCTTTAATTATGATTTGATTTCCATTGTCATTCATCCCATTCCTCTGATATCTGTTTTATCATATGTTTTGGTACATGAAAAGAGTTGGGTTTTGGTTGATTAGCAGTAGTAGTTAATAACATTCTCTTATGCATCAATGTGCCAATGTTCAGCTCATGCTTATTGCTTTATGAGTCTCTTCTCACATGGAAACATGACTGCTAGAGAAGAACATGGATGCAAATGTCCTTGCTTCTCCCCTGTAAAAGTTCTGAAGCAATAGGATTCCTGTTGGGGTGTGCTGGATAGGAGAAGCATCAACAATAGGAATGAGATGCAATAGCAGGCTTGGGCTTGGCTGGTGCTTGTCTGCTTGATCATGTCAGATCATGTTATACACACACACACACACATGTACACATATGTATAGATGTATGCATGGTTGGTGCTTGTCTGCTTTATCATGTCATTATATATATGTGTGTGTGTGTGTACATACATACATATATATGTAAAGATGGGCTGGTGTAAGATTGATGGAGAACGTACTACATTTATTAATTTCATGATAGTTAACCTTTAACATAAACATAAGTACATGATATCATAGTCTACATTTATTAATTGGAATATCAAAATCAACAACATTTTTCTTAAAAACAAGAGTTTAGGAAAATATATAGCTTACATTGACTACAAATGTTATTATTCTAAAATAGTAAAATTTGTATAACTCATATTATTATGTGGGAAGAAAAGAAAAATAAGTTTAATTATATAATTATTTTATGTTAAAAACTCATCCATTGTATTATTTTATTTTTTAATTTATATATGTTCATAATAGTCTAGTCTTAAATACAATTAATACGTAATATTAGGTGCATGGTGTCATAGGTTAGAACTTAAACTCAATTTAATGCAGTCTTAAATTTTAAAAATAAAGTTTAAATAAGTTTATAAATTACGGATTATGTTCTTAATTCAAAAGATATGTCTAATAAGTGGTGGAAGGCCTATGTTTATATATCTATTCTAACTCTTATTGATGCGAGATCCATGATATTTTTTCTCACTTAATTATGTAATACCTTGTTGCATTGGCTCTTTTTCACTCGTAGAAATGAGAGACTTTTACATTAGTACGGGTTTACCTTGACTTTTGTATCTCTCATAGAGATTTCATATCGATGAAGATCTAAGTCTGCTCTAATATCTCATGTCATAGGTTGAAATTTAAACCTAACCTTGTTTAACTTTAAACTTTGATCTTTTATATCATTTATGAGGACCTCACATCAATGAAGATTTAGATTTGTTTTGATACCAAATATCACATATCAAAATTTAAGTTTATAAATGACAAACTCGCATTATCAACCTAAAAAATATATCTAATAGATGATAGAAGGCTCATGTTTATATACTTAATACTTGTTTGACTTAATTTTATTTTAATTTAAAAGTTATTATGAAATTTTTATAAAAAATAATAGTTTTAAAAATTAAGCTAAATCTGTTTGGTAAATTTACTTTTATAAGTTCTTTTTTTATAAATAAGTGGTTTGACAAAATAATTTACATAAGTTCTAATTTTGATTAAAATTACCATAAAAGGTATTTAATAAATAATTTTCTATTAATCACAAATTTTTTTGTTTATAATTGAAAAAAGTTAATTTTAGTTTTTTATTTATAAAAAGTATAAAAAGTATTTTTATATAACATAAAATTTATAATTAATAATAAATCATATAAAAATGAAAACAGATAATGTTGGAATTATTTTTAATGGATGAAGACATTTTTGAAACAAAAATAAAAATTTTTCTAAAAAAAAGTGTGTTTAAAAAAAAAAAAGAGAAAACTCCTCCTTGGAGTTTTTTTTAAGCTTTTTTTTAAAAAAATTTATTTTTTTTTAAAAAACTACTTATTTTTTTAAAAATTTTTTCAAAGTTTTGTTTGGTTTGCTTTTTATTTTTAAAAGATATATAATTAAAAAAAAATCAGATCAAACAAGCACTTAAGATCTCTTACTTATGGAAGATCATGATATATTGCGCGTGAATATTTTTAGAGTGTAAAATTAATTGGTTATAAATATATGATAATTAGAATAAAAAAATAATTATATATAAAAGATAATCAATGTTTCAATTATATACAATTAAAAAGTTTTAATATTTAATTTAGAAATTATTCATTATCATTAGAATTAAATAAATTATTTTTATGAAAGTAAATTAATGCAAATAAAAGTTTTAGTTACAAATTGAATAAATCTTATTAGTATTAATAATAAATATATTTAAAATTATAATAAATAAAAATGGTCATTTTTGACAATGTATTTTAAAAAACCAGAAAGAAAGAATGGTGAAGCAAACAAAATATATCGGGTCGGGTAAATAGACCCGTCTTAATATTGAGATAATTACTTTATTAGACTATCGAGAAACCTTTACACAAAATAAAAAATTTAAAAAAAAGAAAAAACGAAATTTAAGAAATCTACTAAGCTTTTACAGATTGTTACCTCTTGTCTCTGTCTCTCTTTCTTTCTCCGCTTACAGATCAGATCGAGCTTCCAACACGCCCGCACTTGACTTTCGAACCCTCGAAAGGTACTTGGATTTTTCTTGTTTTCTTTTTTCACTGTTGGAAGAAAAGTATTTTCTGAATTATAGATCTCATCTCTGGTCGTTTAACCTTTTGCAATTTTAAGTTACGAAGATTTTCCATGTCGTTTTCGGTTTGTTTATTGATTTAGATCACTTTCATTTGGCATTTACTGAAGTTTCTTTGATCCATTCTCTTTTTTTTTTTGCAATTAATGCGTGGTTAATTTCTCTTCCTGTCTAACGCTCCTGTTTGGTTGCTTTGGAAATGAAGGGAAAGGTGTAAGATTAACTTGGGTGTTGTTAGGGTTTCTAATTTTACTTTTCTGAATTTTGAATCCTGAAATGGAATTAGATAATTATTTCTTGAGTTTATTGTTTTATTCTCAGTTGTAAGATCTTGTGAGGTAGAATGGCGATGATTGATGAGCCTTTGTATCCCATTGCGGTGTTGATCGATGAGCTCAAGAATGAAGACATCCAGCTGCGTTTGAACTCGATCCGTAGGCTCTCTACCATTGCACGTGCGCTAGGGGAAGAAAGGACACGGAAGGAATTGATTCCATTTCTGAGTGAGAACAATGATGATGATGATGAAGTTCTCCTTGCCATGGCCGAAGAATTGGGGGTTTTTATTCCTTATGTTGGAGGTGTGGAATTTGCTAATGTTTTGTTACCCCCATTGGAGACTCTTTGCACTGTTGAGGAAACTTGTGTTAGGGATAAGGCTGTGGAGTCGTTGTGTAGAATTGGTGCCCAGATGAGGGAGCAGGACTTGGTTGAGTCATTTATCCCACTAGTGAAGGTTCGTTTCTGTTTTCTTTTCTTTATGTAAAATTTATTGTAGATTTGAATTTAAATAGTTTTATATGGTTATTGAGATACAATGGGGAAGTTGAATCCTTGAAATGTGGAAGCATAATATAGCATTTCTATCGCCTTGTATATTTGTTAGGGAAGACGAGATAACATATTGCAACAAGTAACTACAAGAATTTGATATGGAAGTTGATTTTTGCTTTAATGTTTGTTCGGTGAAAAGATTGATAGTGGAAGAAAATTATTCTCAAGTTATGCATGAAAACACTATAAACCAGACAGTACATGAAAGTCCACTTGCATCATTCATGTGATTTGTGTCTCTAATTAGTATTATTATGGTGGTTTGTCCAACTACTAACATACACAGTCCTCCGTACTGCCTTGTTATCATTCGGATAAGGTGCCATATATAATATGATTATTCCTCTGACCCAGTGACCAGAACAGGTGTTATCCTTAGTATTTGTAGTTGTAATCCTAATTAATACTTGATTTAGTTTTACCACACTACAAATGGAATGACTGGGTCGTTTCTTTTGAATGTTATTGTCTCAAACATAAAGAGATTGGCTGCTGGTGAGTGGTTTACAGCTCGAGTTTCCTCATGTGGCTTGTTTCATATTGCATACCCAAGTGCTCCAGATGCATTAAAAACTGAACTGAGAGCGATATACAGTCAGCTTTGTCAAGATGACATGCCCATGGTTAGGAGATCTGCTGCAACAAATCTAGGAAAATTTGCTGCCACTGTAGAAGCACCTCATTTGAAGGTGGACATCATGTCTATGTTTGATGATCTGACACAGGATGGTATGTAGACTACGTAATGTATATTTTTTTATTTAAATATTGATTGTACTATTTTTCTGATAAAATGATTGTTGAATATATGCTTTAAATTGTATTACGTTAATGAACATAAGTGATCTGACTTAATCAATTCTGGTAGAAAATATTCTCATGAGGGGGAGAGTTTAGTAGCCTCATGGTGCTTTTCTTCCCTTTAGAGGGGGTGGTTGTAGGTTTAAACTTGTAGGAAGGAAGAGGAATTGGGAAAACAGTAGCAGGCTGCTCCTTTCTACTTCTAAGGAAAGTTTCTGTTTTTTGTTCTTTTAAAGAGAGAGTTTTGTAAAATTCATGGGAAGTTGCCCAAAAAACTAGATCATTGTATATTTTGAGCAGTCTTACTTACCAGCAGAGATGTTTACCTTTGTTTTTCTACTCTAATCTTTTAAAACAATTATATCAGAGAATCTGTGAAATTTATTCTAGTGTTTGATGTTTAAAGCATAACTAAGGTTGATATGTACTTCATGAGGTTTAGATCTTTTTTTTTATAAAGAATAAACGAATCCCTTGTCTATGGTTGTTCGTTCTCACGTATGCATTTTATAATGCATGTTTAGGTTTCCATTATTATGGTTAAGTTCATACTTTATAGTAGGGTTTGAATTCTTATTTTTCTCCTATATTTCCATCCCTGCAGATCAAGATTCTGTTCGATTATTGGCTGTTGAGGGTTGTGCAGCTCTTGGCAAGTTGTTGGAATCCCCAGATTGTGTGGCACATATTCTCCCTGTCATAGTTAACTTCTCACAGGTAGACTATGTGTGA